AGGTTTTAAATGCTTAAATTGTAACGCTGAAGGTGCTTGTTAAGTTTTTTTTTTTGTGCTTTCGCTGAGCATCGCAGGTTACAGTCTGCTTTGAGGTCCACTTCTGTTAATACATTTTTGGTGCCTTTTTAGCTTTATTATTAAGCATCACTTTCTTTGCACTAATGCCACATAAAACTCAACAGAAAAATCACAAAATATTTAAAAACAGAATATCTTTAGAATTCCCGACAGACTGTTAGAGGCTGCCGTACCTTTTCTGATATTGTTGGTGTTGGCTCATGCTCACTTACCTGATCTATAGTCAGCCCAAGCCCAAGAAATTCCTCGTGGCAAGGAGCGCAGGATGACGCCTGTCGTTGGCAACACCCTTGAGTATCTTGAGTCTCAAGTTCCACTCCCCAGTTTTGATGGAGAGCACCCCGGGGGGGACAGTTCCGAGGGTCTCCCACCACTCTTCCCCAACCACCAACCTCTCGAGAGGACTTTCGGGTCACCGCATATTTAGAGTGCCCCCATGCCGCACGAAAACTATACATTTACAAACATCCATGTCTTCTCCGGGATTCGAACCCGGGCCATTCGGTACGGCAATCAGCGTCACTAACCACTATACCGGTAGGGCGGCCCTTTTCTGATATTCTCTATATTATTTTTTAAAACCTAGCAGCGCGCACGGCCAGCTGCCTAAAATATTTATCATAAAAATGAAAAAAGTATATAATGATTTTAATGATTCCAGCTAATGTAGTTTTATGAAAATATTTAATATTTGAGTAGATATCTCATTTTAATGAATTTTTATTTAGAGCAATCACATTAAAAATCTAGAAAAAATATTGTTAAGAACTGTGTTTATTCTATTAAATCACTTAGTTTGTTATTCAGTAAATTTCCATATTGAATTTAAAAGTTAAATATATAATGCTATACTGAATGCCAGCATGACGGTGCATGGAGATAGTAAGTATTCTATTTGAGGCACTTGAAACATATTTCTTCCAAATAACTAAATTTCTGGATTAAAATTCAAAGATAAATAAATATCTTACATTTTGCGAATAGCGACATACTGCCGCTCTCGAGATAAAAATGTCTAATTTGAATACTGTTGCCACTTCTCGCTTTCAGATCACTTTCAATCAAACATTCATTACATTTGCTAAAATATGAAATAAATAAAAATCATATTCGAAATTCAAAATTTGGACTTTGAGAGGCCCATGTTCAGGTGGAGGACTACGTGTATTAAAACTATAAGGGCTCCAGGTGTCTTCGGCGTTTATCCGCTATAGAAGGAGTATACATACAGATTCTTCCTTATTTAACAATTGTTTTAAATAATGCACGACAATAATATTGGGAGGGGGGCAAAAATTTGAAACGTTAAATCGTACAGAAAAGTGATACGGACAATACGTGAGTTTCAAGACTAATACAGAGGGTATTTACACATTTTTAGAATGATTTCTATAAAGAATTAGTAGCAGCGATATATCAGTCTTTCTTGGAATGAACCATTGCAAAAAAGGAAACAAGAATCGCTATCAGTAAAAATTAAATTTGGACAACGAAAAAGTGCCAATAATGCTTCTCAGAACTAAAATATAGCAATTAGAAACTTAAAATATTGCAACTAAATGGCATAATCTGGTGTGAAAATTTTAGAATTAAAACAGTTTTGTCGTTCATAAAAAATTAATTATTTAGCAAGTAATCTTTTTTTTTTTTTTTTTTTTTGTTGGCATTTATAAATGAAATGAGAACGTGGCTAACACGCAAAATTAAGAGTAGACAAGATTTGATTATAAAAAATTTTAATAATTTATATATAGTAAATATATAGAAGGATTGTAATTAGCTAGCACGGCACGGAACAAAAGGTTCTTAACACAGGCATTTGTAATGTGTTACAAAACGCTTGAATAATCAAAGTTGAAACTGATGCATGAAGAATAAATACAGAGAGTGTTTACATATTTTTAGAAGGATTTCAATAAAGAATTTAAAAAATAAAATGTTTTGGAATAAAAATTTCTGTGAATAACTTATTATATAAAATGAGAAATTATCATGTGCTATTTTTTAATTTACTCTTCTTTCTAGACGTCGCATGTAAACAAGCCATGGATTGAACGCTATTTTTTGCCCTTTCCGAAAAGAATATTCCTATTCCATAATTCAAAAACATTGTGAAATGCATGGTATTAAAATTTCGAAATGCAAACTAGGCAACATTATTAATAGGAAACGAAGAAATCGCCAGTCATTACTTCTACATAGAAAGAAGACTTCAAACAAACATCCGAAAAATGGTATATACTGCTTCTTATGTTTCAATAGTTAAATCATTGGTAACGTAAGAAAATACGAGGAAGTAGAAATCGACTGAAAATTTTTTAAATGCATCTGCAGCAACCAGAAATGAAATCATAAACTAAACTTTACAACTTTAAAAAGCTAAAAAACATAATGTTCACCAGCTAACGCTGTAGAGACATTCGTATTTTTTGGAAAAGCCGGAGAGATGAAAAATGAGCAATCGCTTTTTGCCGGGAATCGAACCACGGACCTCTGAAATACCGGCTCAGTGTGCTGACTACTACACCACGAAGGCATGCTAGAAAGGCGGGAGAAATACCTTATAACACATGTGGCTCAACGCAGATCTATTTCTGGACACATGCGTAGAAGCTGTTTAGCAGGAAATAAATAGTTATTTAGTAGGATGGGACGCTTGATGAAGTATGGATTTATTTAAATGACTGCAACGTTAAAACGTATATTTATTATTAAAAATGAAGAGGAAAGGATGTATTGTAAATCTGGTTTCGTGAATGCAAGGAACGTTTCATCAAGGTATTGATGAATGTCGCAGAATTCTCATACAGAAGAGTGTTAAAAATAAGAAAAATGAAAAAAAATATTAAAACCAAATCAATGTACTATCAAGAGAAATCTTTATGTCCAATATTCACAGAAGAAATTCCATTATCCTTATGACTTTCAAATAGCAAAACTTCATAAAGATAATGCAGCAAGCTATATTTCGAAAAGTACTACTGCATTCCTTGAAAAAATGAAGACTGATGTAGGTGTTGCATATATACCTTTTTAACGCAGTCTTGAGAAGTCTTCTGGCATTTTGTGTACGGACTATTGTGCCTTTGGTCTCTTGAAAAGAGTTGCTTCTAAACCGAAACCCACCGTGATAGACGGCCTCTAAAATCGAACATTTAAAAAAATTACCCTTTACATTTACATATTAATTAAACGGTACTGTCCCAGGCTGCTACAATCTGAAATTTTCATATTGCTTATAATTCATTTCTCTTAAGTATTTATTTATTAATTTATTGTTATTACTAACACTACTAACTACAACTACCACTTAATGCATTTAGAATAGTAATTTTATCGACGCCGATATTTCTACGAATTTTAAAGAATGTTCCACAGAATGTTCCGCATATTTAAACAATCTGATAAATTCAGATTGCTTACTCTTTTTCAATTTCTGTGATTATTAGTGGGCTATTTTTAATTATTATTTTTATTTAGTGGATTATTGAGCTTTTATTTAGTTCACTCATAGTGTTTCACTATGAGTGGAATTTAGTCATCGGCTTTTAATCTACTTCCCGATAAGCTATCGAGTTCAAATTTTGTACACATACCGTGTGTCGATGGCAATGTAGTGAAGTGATTGTTTTTTTCAAAATTCGATTTAGATTTTTTTTAATTTAATTTTTAAACGATTTATTGCAATATCTTCTTTTAACGAACAAACTAAGCAATCATACTTTTTACTGTTTGCATCATCAAATAAAACAAAAATTAATACTTTCAGTGAAACTTGTATAAATTGGGAATTCATTATCACTTATGCCAGTATTAAATAGAAGTAAGCGTTAACCGCTTAATGACCGAATTTATATTATAAATTATGCCAAAAATTCTTGAATTTTTATAATACTTTTATTATATACAGATATAGCTTACTAGATGTAGCTTTGGAAAGAGCAAAAAAATAATAAACATGGTGTAATACATAGCGGCAGATCACAGTCTGCAACAGCGTGATAATCTGGTAATCTGCATTGACTAACAAAACTAATTTGCACGACAGAAAATTTGGTGTATCACCAGAGTGCCTGGGTCTAAGATCCTACCTCTAATCGAAAAACTGAATTTATAATTCATTTATAATGCGACTACGTCGCCGACTGCAGCTCAGGGTCATGGTCATGGAGGAAGCAATCACAAAAGCCGCTTGGACCACTTCCACAGCTAAGAAAACATGTGCATGGCAGAGTGTCGATTGGCACGCGATATTATCGGGATGCCATTAAATATCCGAAAAATTTTCAGCGCCCGAGTTGACTTGTTGATAGGAAAATCGAAACGTCATGTACTCCCGGGATATCTCGGGCGCGGCCGTTAAGCGGTAAATGACCTAATGTTTACTTAATTATCACTCTGAGAAAAACCCACCAAATAAAAAAATCATCAGTTCTAGGTAATATATTAGTAATTCTAGTAGATGTGTTTAATTGAAAAAGCTTATTCCTTTTATAATTTTAAACAGATATATACAATAGATAAATGAAATTATTAAACTAAATAAGCTTAATAGGATATGACAAGATCTAATATCAGCATTTAAAGAAAAAGATGCCTTGACAACGAATCGGTCCGACGGCGTAGCTCGACGGCGAAACGGCGGCAGCGAATAGTCTCATTCCGCGATAAGGGCCCCATTGCAGTGGATGTTGTTGTGGAATAATATTAGGTCTGTATCCATATGTGTATTTTGATAATAAAATATTTTGTTCAACTGAGTTCTTTATCATCAACCAAATTTGTTGAATAAATTTTTTGTTATCTGTTACTTGACTAATTTTCAACTAACTTTCCTATTACCGACTTGATACCATTTTCTAAAAGTAGGAATAAAATTATTATGCTGCTTAGCATCCAGAGGAAATTAAATACCTTACCACTGGTTTTATTTTTCCTTGGGCAAGGAATTTCGTCCTCCAAACACAAGGATTTATCCTCCGCTTCTCGTATCCAAGTGAATGGTTTCTCGGCCACCGTCACCACCTGAAAAAAAGTAATTTTTTAAGAAGTCTGTTGTCATGAGAAATGGTAGAAGGTTTGACTTAGTTTATTTGATCACGGGAAAGCTTGCGAGGACTATCTGCCTAAGGGGAGGGATTGATGGAGGACTTTCAAAGAGAAACTGGTTCGTATATACATTACACAGAGAGAAGACTAAGAAAACGCCCATGCAGCCAGCCCGTTGGGACTGGAATCGAACCCACGTTGAATTACCAGTGTTATAATCCTACCGTACGGCTGTTGGTACGCTTTTACAGCAATTTTATTGTTGAGTAGATAGGATTTGATTACTTGCCTTAATGGCACAGCATAAAGAGGCTATCTGACTAAAGAGGAGGATGCCTTCGTGAAAGAATATTTTAAGACAAAATGACTAGTATTCATGTTACACATGGGGAAATCAGAAAACTCCCATGTAGTCAGTCCGTTCGCCAAGATTTCATTAGTTCATTCTTATACACTACACTGACTTGTGAAGTTAATAGAAAAATTTAAATAGACACCGCTTCGAAAAAAATTGTTGAGATGAGAATAGTCTATATATTAATAGCTTTATTTGATGCACCAAACAAGGAAATGATAACTAGGTAATAATAAAGTTGGAAATGGTTATAATTTTAGCCACAATTTTTATAGTATTATTAGGTGCTATTAGCACTAAGCAATTAGCTCTCATCACAGAATTCGCTGGCGAAGCTCTGCATTCTAAGTTAAATACTGCTCTCCTCATGTTGGCCGTGGAGAAAGCCTTGGATTGCGTTTAGCATGAGGTGCTCATCTGCAAATTAATTGACTTCAACCTGGACATAGCACTTATTGAATTCATACTTTCAATTCTTAGAAAAGGAAGTTCAAGGTTTCAGTAAGAAATGCCCTTTCCTCTGAAAGGATTATCCAAGCGGAAGTGGCCCAGGGCAGTATTTTATTGTACCTATATTGTATCCTTTCTATGCGATCGAAAACTCTGCACTCACAGTGCATGTTGACTTGTTATACACAGGATACTGCACTAGCAGTGAAGAGAAGTCACGCGATTCACAAATTCCAAGAGCATATCCTTCCAATGCAGATCGGTGCAGAAAATGGAAAGCCTCTGCAAAGGCCCAGAAGTTGCAGTTTCTTATTATTAAATTCTGATTATTATTCCAGTTTCTTACTGTCTTTGGCTTTTTCTCTTACTACCTTGGATTCGCGTCAGACAGAAATCTGTTCTTCTGCACGATCTGCGTCATTTACCTATAAGAACCGGAACACATCGAGCAATTCGCTTGATAATCGCGACATATAGAGGAAGTTGTACTTTTCAAAATCCTTCAAAAGAAAATGAAAGTTTCAAAGTACTTCATTCCGAGTCTTGAGCCTCAGTTTAGTTCTAATACCTACATTCTCCAGTTTGTAATTATCCCTAAGGTAACTCACACAAGGTTTACCAATTAGGGATTCATTAAGGTGCCAGTAATAGCACATTTCTGTTTTGCGTTGAAACTGGCAATTTAAAAGTATACTAGTAAAAGTGTAATTTAAAAGTATATTCTGGTATTTATTTTGTATGGGGAAAAGTGCTGCATTTCTTCCTTTTCTCCTTTATATGCATCTCATTCGCAGAGCTTAACTATTTGGACCTTTTTATGTGTCAGGTGCTTTATGGGACTCCATCAAGCTCTAGCAAAAGCAGGAGACTTTCTCCTGCTGAGTACCGTAAAACCACAAAGTACTTGTCACCCTACTATGAGTTCACCGTTACACATTTATTCACGCCATATAAACACTACCTGATATGGGCCAGGCACGTTGCGTTTCAGCAATATTCATGGCAATATTCATGGCAAGTTTTGCTTTATTGTCGATGAACTAGTCGATGGATGGCTACAGTTGACAAGATCTTTGATCTGAAGAAAGAGCGTGTTGACAGTGCTTATAAATTTAATTACTTTTTTAAATGTTTACAGCATCTAGAAGCTTAAAGGCATAAATCTGGAGGCTTAGAGGTATGAAGCTTAAAGTGGCATAAGAACTCAGAGCAGTTATTTGTTGTAGCAGAAAGAATTTCCAAGTACCAAAGTATTGTTCCAATGTATGCTTTTTTTTCCTTTAATTTTCGGTGATCTTCTGTAGGATATAAATTCAGAGCGATATCAGAGGGGGTTAAGATGGTGCGCAGCACGTGGACGGTCAAATTTAAAGGGACGCGGAATGATTATCAAACATAATATATTTTGTAAAAAAGGGCGGTCAATTTTGATTTGCATGTGGGCTGCCGATAGTCTGGGATCGGCATTGTATAAACAATACACGTAATGATAACGTGCTTATATCTTTTTACTTCATTTCGTTTTTCTCTCTAACGATCCCAAATTAAGAATTACCACTTTAGTTCCGCAAAAAGAGGACTCCATATAGAATTATCTGAATGATTACATGCAAGATCGTTTCGCCGTGTGCATGAAATTTGTTCCATGCACATTGAAGTAAATGTATAGAAAAAATCCGTTTTAATTATTTTTACTCTGTTATTTCCCTCCACGAACCGACATGTCGTTCAAGGCTATGTATTAAGTGGTCTGCATTAAGTATAACGAAAGTAGTCCAAATGTATTCCGTCCGCCTGGATTTCCTCTTCCTGTGGGCAGACCTGCAGACCGGAGGAATCAGACATTGGGTCTGGGTGCAAGGCGTGAGGCTCTCATGTGGTCCCTTGGGGTTATTCTCTAGATGGTTGCAGGGCCAGGGTAACACCCGAGTAGTCATAGAAAGCCGTCCGGGTGTCCTGTCCTGCAGTCACCTGTCACCTGTAAGCTTTCGCTCAACAATGAATCGAAATGGAAATTTACAAAGTGGATCAACTGATTTTGCTTGTCTTTCCACAAAATTTGACAACCATGTGAAAAGATTATGAACTCCAGGTTCGAAACAAAACAGAAAAATTTTTATTTCGAAATTATTACCTTATTACTATTATTATCAGGTAAAGAGCATCATTTTGATTAACTTAATGATTGCGAAGATTGGTCGAATGAAACGTTCTGGTATTGAATTTGTGGCATTAAAAAGTGCATTTTACTCATCGCAGAACATATGCTGTTTCTATACCTTTTCATAAAAAGTTTTTTTAACATATTTTGTATTTATTAGCAAAGTACGTATAATATATTTAGTACGTATAATATTAACTATACGTACAAAATACGTTAACAAAACTTTCATGAGTTAAGTTAAAACTCATGAAATAGAATCATTCATGAGTTGTAAGTTATAAGAAAGGCTAGTGCTGTCATGTATTAGAATTCGAGACAGACCTACTCGTAAGAGTAGCATTCACCGTATCTTCTTTCGTTATTTCCAATTCATAACAGAGTGAATATCGCATTTATTATTTCCCCCTTTTTTCATAAAATAGATTCAGATTTCAAGTTCAGCCACACTTCAGATTCTCTTCACTCACACTTTATGCAATGAAAGATCTCAAAATAACTCACCTTCAAGTGGGTCGGCACGATATATCCTCTAGGTTTCCTCGTCTCCTCTCCGGGCCAGACGATTTCTTGCACATTCAAGGACAACGTCATTTCGCATTTGAACTGGAAAAAAAAAAACAAAAAAAAAAACAAAACAAAAAAAAAAAAAAACAAAGAGAGTGCAAAATAATTACATACCCAACTTTAATATTCTGCAGCAAAAGAATATAATAAAAAATGTAAGCATGTTTCCGAAATGCAACAAATGCGTTTCTACGCGGGGTGCATTAGATTATTCTGCTCGAAAGTACATATTAGATTGTGATGGAAAAATCCGTTGTGAATTTTAGATGCAAATATTTATAAATACTGTCAATTATAAATCACACGAGTAATATAAATCTTAAAATAGCCCTTTAAAGATATTTCCAATAGAAATGAAATAAAGGTATAACTTATTAAGAAGTACGGATATTTTACAAAATGTGCCAAAAAGCAAAGTTAGATTGATATAGAATTTGAACAAAACTTAATGAATTTCGAGAGCTATCTGACAGATAGCTCTTCTTCAGATAAAATATATTTTCATCACCCAAGACCTTAACTTATAAAAACGGCTATTTTCTGATGGCATGTAAAAAAAAATAAATAAGAAAGAAAAAAAAAGAGTAGCAAGCACTAAAGGCACGAAATATGTGGAAGAGAGGGGAGAGATTAAAATAACAAAACTTTAAAAACGACAGAAACTGAAAAGAACCTACAATAACAGCAAAATTCCTTTAAGGCATCAGCCACAATTATTAAATACTAAGAATTTTTACTTGCAAAATATAATAATATTGGGTAGGAATTAAATCATATCGGGGGGAGGAATGGAAAACTAACTTTCGAGAGTCAAAGTGTCCATAATCAAAGTAAAATGGCGATCCAGATGATAAAATAACACCAAAGAGGCAAACTAGCGAACGATAAGAAATTTCTTTTAAATGCTAGTTGACAGCAAAACTTCTAACTGAAAGAACAAGCCAAAATAAAATTTTAAATTAGCAAAAAATAAACCTTAGATTAGCTTAGATTTTGCAAATTTGGAGAAAAATATTTTGTTACTGAAAGCGAAAGACTAATGTCTGATTCTCTTTGAAATCGTTAACGTTATATTCAAAATTTGCGCCAATCTAAGACTTCATTTTTATAAAATTAAAATTTTAGACATTAACCTGTATAAGGTATTTATCCCAACTTCCTAGTTCGCCTTCGTGGTGTAATAGTTCTGCACGCTGGGCCGGTATTCGAGAGGTCCGTGGTTCGATTCCCGGCGAAGGCGATTGCTGATTTTTCATCTTGCCTGCTTCTAGAAAAATACCTGGTGTCTCTACAGTGGCGCCCGAACTAAAAGGGGGTGGATTATGACTCTCGTCACCCAGGATTTGGCGATTGGGTCCCCTGAAAAACCGAGTCCCCCTTTAAAATGGGAGAATATAAGGTATTTCTTCCACTTTCCTAGTGTGCCTTCGTGGTGTAGTGGTCAGCATACTGAGCCGGTATTCCAGAGGTCCGTGGTTCGATTCCCGGCGAAGGCGTTTGCTCATTTTTCATCTTGCCTGCTTCCAGAATAAAAAAAAAAAAAAAAAAAAATCCAATTGTCTCTACACCTGTTTCTCTTGAAGTCACTGCATATACTGCTTTTCAAATCGCTCATTTAGTGAAACAAAGTACTGTTTTAACCAAATTATACGTCTTATGGAACGTTGAATAATAACACTTTTGAAAACCAGCAATTTGCTAAGCAGATAAAATGTTATGGCTTGTAGAATGGCAATACTAGCTAGGCCATGTGAATGGTAAATGCCATATATGGCAGTGACGGTGGTACGGCTGAAAACTAAACTTTCTGAGGGCGATAACATTGAGAACGAAAGAAGAAAATACTGCTGTTATTAAACAGCAATTAAGTTTAAATTAAAATTATTAAACAGACTCCAGTTTTCAGATCTAAGCATTTTCAGGTAACTTATGCATAATTCTAATTTAATATCTTAATCGGAATGTACAAATGTAATGTAAAAACACGCAATTTGATAATATAGCAAAACCTAAAATCTCAGTAGGGAAACCAAGCTTATTCACATTCGCTCAGCCAAAATAAGCCCAAAGAAGTGGAAAAAGAGCATATAAAATCTAACGTTTAGCAAGGAGATGTCCGGATTAACGGCTACGTCTGTCACCTGCTCATATTTGAATCTGCAGCTATAGACTGTTGATTCGTGAAAATCAAATTCCTTACTATTGGCTAATAATGTTACCTCTTTTTAGTATGTGACCGATTTATATTTAATGCTTCATTTTTAAATTTTGTGCTTTTCTATACTCCAGGTTTTGAACCCTCACAAATGACTCCAGCAAAAAAAAAAAAAAAAAAAAAAAAAAAAAATTAAACATTGATAGTGGAAGATCATTTCAAAAAGACCTAGACAGAATCATTTGGAGTTATTGAACACAATAGGAATGCATTAAGCATTCCGTGAGAGGAAAGTGTTGTGTCGCACTTCTAAGTGTCAGACGGCACTTTACAACCATCTAACAAGGTTGTTGCCGAACTTGATGAAGCTGAACGTAAGGTGTTTATTGAAGGGAAATTAAGGAATTATAATTACCAGAAAGGTGGTTTTTGCAATTATCTTTCTAAAACAAACCATCTAACAACAGCCTGCTTTCAAATTTCAGTATGCCTGGCAAACCATGGTAAAGCGCTCTCCGATGGGGATATAATCAAAGAGGTCATGTTGTCTGGGAGTAATTCCCTTTTTCATGACTTTCCAAATAAGGACAAAATTAAACAACGCATCGCTGAGATGCCATTTAGCAGAAATACTGTTAAATAGAGTCCTGCGGATGGCAAGTGATATCGGTCAGAAGCTCACCACTGACTTGCAAAAGGCAGGTGTTACCCAATGTGCTTGGATGAAAGCACAGATATAAATAACTATTCAAGGCTAACAATAGTTTTGCGTTATGCTGTTGGTGATACGATGAGAAGAGCTGGTTAAATTGGCATCTTTGCCCGAAGGAACACAAAGAATAGTTATTTACAATGCTGTGGTGAAAGCTTTTTTACAACAAGACATAAAACCGGAAAAGGTAGTTTCAATTACTAGTCATGGTGCGCCTTACATGTTGGGAACAACATCTAGTTTCATAGAGTTCTTTGTTAAAGAAGCAAAACATCCAGTTATTCAGTTTCATTGTCTCATTCTCCAAGAAGCTCTTTGTGACAGAGACAGCTGCAAAATATTAGATGTTGTTCTCAAAGATGTCACCAAAATGGAAATTACATCAATGGCTCGAGCTCTTAATTGTCGACAGTTTCAAGCACAATATAATACTTTGCTTGTGTACAATAATGTCTGATGGTTGAGCAGAGGACGGGTTTTAGAGAGATTTGTAAGCTGCTTGGATGAAATTAGGCTATTTTTGAATGAAAAAAGGCAGGTTTATCCGCAGCTCGCTGATATGATCTGGCTTAACAAAGTTATGTTTTTACAGATTTTACACAACACTTCAATGTACTGAACAAGCAAATGCAAGGCTTAGGAAAAATGACAGAAAGGATGCTTTGCGGTATAAAAACATTTGAGAGAAAACTACATGTTTTTGAAAGAGATCTTGCAAGTGCGCAGCTGAAATATTTTCCAAATCTAAAGATGCATCTAGAAAATTCTACACAATCTGCATACAATCCTTCAAGTCAGGAAGAAATCTTCGAGCATCGAAGCAGCTGCAAAGGAGAATTTTAATGACAGATTTCTACAGTTCCGAAAGATGGAAACACCCATGTGTTTTCTTACTTCTCCAGATAAATCTAAGTTTGAAGAACTTGATTTTTCTTGCTTATAGTGGTTAGATCTTGAAAATCCGGAAATGGAGCTAATGAAACTTCAAGAAAGCTCTACGTGGAAAGGAAAATTATCCGATCTGCGGGCAACACTTGGGAAGATGGAGTGTTAAGAGATCACACAGAATAACACAATTGATAGTTATGAAGACGAATTTCTGAAAGCGTGGAATTTTCTGCCAAATATGTTTAAATCAATGAAAACACTTGTAGGTGCTATTCTTACTTTGGTTGGATCATCTTATGAGCGGGAACAGTTGTTTTCAGCTTTGAATTATATCAAATGTGACACAAGAACAGACTGACAGATAACCTGAGGGCTTCATGTGTTGCGCTTAAATTAATGAAGTATGAGCCAAGGTTTGACCAATTATCAGTATGTATACAAATTCAAAAACGCCATTAATTACGCAAAACCAATCTATTTCCTGAAATAAAAAGTTTTTTGTATCGTTGAAAACTCTCTTCTTGTTTTTTCTCTTTAAGTCTTAAGACAAGTGTGTGTTATTTTGCTAAACCTTGTGTGTTGTTTTGCAAGACTTTCAGGTTTAATTGGAGTGTTGGCACTTTGCTGTAAACAAGTGGGTTTTGGTTAAATTTTGGGCACGCGACCCCAAAAAGGTTCGCCACCACTGATCTAGAGTGTTTCAAAAAAGACGGAGCAAAATTTAAGAAGTAACAGATCAAACATACCAAAAAAAAGTCATTTTTTGTCATGGAAAGCACAATCCAAAATTAAATGTAAAAGCTTAGAGAAAACTTGATGCTGAAACTGAAAAGGTAGGTATAAATACAAGAAATGAAACAGAAGGGAGGAAAACCGGACGACATCGGATTCAAGGCAGTTCCACTAGACGAAAATAATCCTCAGCCGTCAATGTTCGCACTTTTTGAAAATGGCATAATTACAACCGTTCATTGCGCAACACTCATCATATCGTCGAATGCGGCATATCAGTTCTCCATAGATCTCGTACTTTTACATGGCCGAACATTTACTATTCCTAGAAAGTTCTCTTCCATACTTATCACTTGTTGGACGACTTGCATCAGATCTGGTATTGGTAAGTAATTCCAAAGCAAAACAGTTGGCGATTCAAGTGGTGAAAGAGAACTTGGCAACCATCAATAGACCTTTCTTTATTCTTGTTAGCAGCTTCGTACATAAAATGTATCAGCTTGCAATTCATGTATTGCTGGTTAACTTAAGAAACTCAAATTGTGAATGCAGATATGTGGGGATAAAAGCACTTTAATGCTTATAGAGGTGAAACTAGCTAAAGAGCATACCTATACGTTTCATTTTTAACCATGCCTTCTATAACAAAATAAAAAAATCTGATGTGTACACCACATAACTTCCTTGTACGGAATATTAAATTATACGCATTTTTTCTTGCATTTCATTTAAACTTATTGGATTGAATTAAATCTACTTTGTCGATAGCGCATAAACCACAATAGAATAAATGCACTCTTTAAAATTCACTATATTTGTTTAGCATAGCGACACTCTAGTGCTAGGTTCACTGAATATTTCGTTCATATTATAACTCAGAATGCACAAAATTTATATCATTTGAAGAATTATCTAATTGTTGCCACATGTTTTGTTCAAATACTATAATATATCTAGAACGATGTATAAAAGAAATTAAGCAAGCAATACAAAAAAGAAACAGTTTTTCACAGACGATTGAGTATTTCTCATTCAATTAATTCAGTTCTCACTTCGCGACAAGGCAAAAATACATAAAATCTCAAAATATCTTATATTTTGAGATTTTATTATATAATTACGTAATTACTTATATAATTACGAAGTAAATCTTAAACACTTATTTCCTCGAAAATATTCCAGAAACGATTAAGCATAATTTAATTCGCTATAGTAAATGAAGGCGTTATCTTTGTTGTTGCGAAGCTTAATCTCTCTAGATTGACAACAAATCTACTATTCTGCTGTTTCAAATGTAAACAAATATGTCCGACATGTTATTTAAAACGTAAGGCTTAACCGTACTTAATGCACAGTTTACAAACATGTAAGAGTAAAGAAACTGAGATTATTGAGCCGGGTAACAGAGGGATATATATATAAATATATTTATATACGTTTGGGGCGGCCAATTACAACCAAAATACGAGGTGCAAATTTACATGTTATAGCAGTCCTATATACAAAATTTCAACGTATTGAGGCAGCGAGATACGTACGTACGTTCATACAGACGCCACGAAAAATTCTCTCCAGAATTCATTTTAAAGCAGTTTTATAATTTTTTTGGAAGAAAAGAGTCTTTTATTCTGTCTTTACCTAGAGATGTTACGGAAAATCATCGTTAAATTGCATTCGATAGCGGTCAAAATGGATATTTTCGTTGAATATGCTGCCTGAAACTTTTCGCGATTACAATACTTCCTTTTTACTTCGTACAAGGAAGTAAAAAATTGTTTTAATGTGTTTTACTCCTTCTTAAAGTTTATTCCATCTACTCTGAAACGCCTTGTATACGTTATTTATGATTTCACTTTCTTATCTAACAGCATTTACGTACAGATCAAAAATTTAAAATTAAGGTAGAAAATAAATATATTGCATGGAATGTACGTAAAATTCATCTGACAGACACGTTTCCAGTATCAGAATCTTTCCTGGTCTGTTGTTTGCTGTGACCAGGTCTTCGATGAAGGTAGTTCAGACAAGCATCTGTCTTCGACAACGTCCTTAATTAAATGAAAAGGTTTCCGAGCATTAAATAATTATTTAGCTAACAAGATAAAAAATACCTACTCAAATCGGATATTTCGAATATCAAATAGGCCGTGGTTTGTCATAGTCTGCATAGTTGTAGTTTTAGTGTACTAACATGTAAAAACGAGTCTTTTCAATGGTATTAAAATATTTTATAAAATAGTGCTTTAATATTCGACAAACCTGTGAATAAACATAGTCTCCAACGGTGGATGGTCTTCCGTTCACGATATTGATGATTTCATAATCGCTATCGATCCGGTCCCCTTTATCATCAAAGGCCACACGACCCGTTTTCCCATTTTGCAAAGTAACTTCTTTCAGGAATCTGAAAAAGAGCAATTTCGCTGTTTTATTAAGCGTTTGCTACCTAAAGAAATAAAAATGTTATCAAACAGACCATTTAATGTGCTTTGATTCATTTTTAGGGGCAGAAACCACCAGCGGCCAGTGAATAAAACCACTAAATATTCAAACCCAGGTTCAAATTCTGACGAACGGACTGGTTTCATGGGACTTTCGTGTTCATATGTAACATGGCAGGAGCTACAGTCATTTTTACGGATTTTAGAGTCATTTTTCTTTGTTCCAAACAAAGCTCACGCGTGATTTACTTCAATGATGGATAGCTCACGCGTGATTTACTTCAATGATGGATAGCTCACGTGTGATTTACTTCAATGACTTAATCAACTAACATCTAAGGAGGCAATATATTGATGGGTTTTCTATATAAAACTCTAACTTCTCAAACTAAATTTTTAACATTAAAGAAAACAAAAAAGTATTTACTATTTAACTTAGCATATATAATACAAATTTTCTTAATGACAAGCTGCAAATGTCCATAAAATTATCATTTGGTGCATTGCAAATTAAATGTATTTCAATTTAATATCCATCAGATAAATCCATCATAAAAATGTAACAAAAATTCATATTAGTAAATTCTGTTATATGGGATAGGTCTTAGGGTTGCGAGTAATAACATTGAGGATTTTAACGTAAATTTAGGTACAAAACTAATCTTCGATAGCTTTCAATTTTAAGTAAAATTACATCGATTTCAAAGATTATCTGATATAGTTTTCTACTCTGTTTACTTTTCTTCAGAAGCAAAATACTTTTGCCAAAAGAGACAGCAAGAAAGCACAGTTTGCGCACACATTAAGACGAAAACGAATGGATAGTCATGATTTAAAAGTAACTGTAAATACATACACACATTGAGGGGAGCTTCCATATTTTGTTCAAAGACAAACTGCTGGTGTTAATGGTATATATTAATATTACTTCTGAAATGAGATTTTATGGATTTTAACTTTTTTCAGATCAAACGAAAGTACCCAAATTCGACTTAAGAAGAGAGCACTGTAATAAAATAATTGTATTATAATCGATTTTCACCAATCCTGAAAGTTTCTGTTTTCTAAGTTAAGCTTGAAATGAGTTCATTTTCATATCTAAAGATTTGGTGACAAACAGATAATCCCATGAAGCTGTTAAAAAGCGAAAAGGAGTTGTTAACGAACCCTATGAACTTCTGTCCAGTTTCCCAGTCTTTTTTGTGGTCGTTGCAATTCTTCGGAGCATTCTCGATGTGGGTCAAGTTGAACAATAACTGCCGAAAAGCTCGAGCAATAACGGTGACACTGTCTTTTATATGCGCCTCTTCGTCGGTCGCATTCACGAGCTTTAAGCCGAGGACACCTGCAAGAATAAACAATGCTTAGAAAAGGCAGAAAGCTCCTTTTAAATTCTAGGAAACTTCGGAATTACGAATCACATATTTGATTATATACATTCATTAGTTAATCGTAATGAGGATCTCTGAGGATGAAAATAATGATGGTTCATGCGTGATAATGATAATGGTCGTGGATAAAGTGACAAGGTATAATCCAGACAACAAACACTATAAAACAAAAAGAACATTTATTAAATATAACTTAATATAACGTAATCAAACAGAAAAGAAAAGAGATTCTTAGCATCTTGGTGCCACTCACAGTAAAACCAGCACTGGGTTTTCGAATACAATACAGTAGGGGTCTTCAACGTTTCACGCCTGAGGGCCACATCGATAAATTCATAAAGATCCGCGGGCTATATGTTTGTCAAAACAATAGTGTAATCTGGAAATTTATTAAAAAAAAGGTTTGTTTTGTAAGACTATAATTGATTCTAAGCGAAGAGATAGTGTTACAGATTTGTATATATATACATACACTGGTTCCGAAAAGTCAAATGGAAATCGAATTAAAATGTTTTGCAACTTTTTTTTTAACTATGAAAAAAAAAAAAGCGTAAAGATGATTGTACGGAACGATGTTACAAAATGCATTTACAATAAAAAAAGAAAAAAATCTTACATAACTGGCGGGATATGGTGGTTACTTTAGTTTTAATGTGAAATTTTATTGTTTTTGCTTGATTAAAGCTTCAATATCCGGTTTAATCTGTGTTGCCGCAATTTGTAAAGTTTCCTCCAAATGTCTGTCTGTCAGCCGTGTTCTTGTTTTTGATTGTACGATTTTTATTTTACTAAAAAGCTGTAAACATATGTAGGTACTGCCAAAGAAAGAAGGCATGAAGGGTGTATGTTTACGAATTCCTGGATACTTGTCTTCGGTCACATGCCTCGAATAAAAATTAACTAATGTAGGATTTTCAAGAAACTTGCGTTTTACTGCAGTCACACTGTAAATCTATAAATTCTAATTGAAGTTCAGATGAAACACTTACAACGTCTACTGAAAATGGTGAGGAGAACACTCTAATAAGAATTTCATTTTCATGAAAATCGGAAAATCGGCTTTTTGAATTCCTCTTTGAAATTTGAAATGTACATAATTATTTGAATTTTATGTTGTAGAGTTCCTCGCACACTCCATTAATTTTAGAAGAGTGGAATTCTTATTTACCTGCTGACTTTCCCACAGGATTAATTTTGTCTCAAAAGCTTTCACAAAGTAATAAAGATTATGAACAAGTAGATCTTCTCCATGTAAGCGGTAGTTCAAATCATTGAGATGACCCGTAATATCTGCAAGAAATGCAAAGTCTCTCAACCACTTCTCATCACTGAATTCGTGAATAAATTTTCCTTTAGATTTCATGAATTGTTGAATTTCGCTCTTCAAACAAAACAGACGCTGAAGCATCTTTCCTCGTCTCAACCAACGTACTTCCACGTAATACACAACATCACCATATTCAGCTTCCAAATCACTCAATAACTGTTGAAATTTCCTGTGATTAAGTCCTTTACACCGAATGAAATTAACCACTTTTACAACAACATTCATTACATGTTCAAAGTTTGAGAATGACTTCTTGCACAAATTTTCTTGGTGGATGATGCAGTGGAAAGTCATCAAAGTATTATTTCCACTTGCCTTCACATCAGATATGAGTAATGTTCTTACTCTTATTTTTTCTCCAGTCATAGATTTAGCACCATCCGTGGTTATAGCAGATATATTACTGAAGTCAACATTACATTTATCCAAAGTTTGTGTCAGACTCGAATACAAATCCATTCCTGGTATTGTACTTTTAAGTGCAACGACACTGGCTAATTCCTCTACTATTGTGAAGTCTCTATCAACGCCACGAATAAAAATGGCTACTTGTGCAGTATCTATTGCATCTGTTGATTCATCCATCGCTACAGAATAAAACTCAAATTTTTTGCATTTGGATTTTAATTTACTGAATGTATCTGGTGCGAGATCCTCTATGCGTCTCTCTACTGTCACGCTAGACAACCTAATATTCGATATGACTTGATCCTGTGATAGGCAAAGGACATCAACTGCACTCTGAAGACATTCTTTTGAAAATTCTCCATAAATAAATGGCTTTCCACCCTTAGCAATTTTTTCTGCTATCACGTAACTAACACGAACACTATTTTCAGATTCTTTATTCGGTGGTGAAGAAAGACAATTCAAAATTTAGTTTTGATTTTAATTCACTCACCTTATCACTTCGAAAATGACCTTCCAATGCAGAATATTTCTCACTGTGCTTAGTATCATAATATATATTAATGTTGTGCTTCCATCACAGCTACCCTGTCGTTGCAAATAAGGCAAACTGCCTAAAATTCGTCATTTTCAGAAAATTTTATCTCAAATAATATCAGGCATGTCAATAAAATGTTTTAAATATCAAGAATTGGAGAACTTTTTAAACGATAAAAAGCTGATAAGGCAAGTTTTCTTGAAATCAAAATTTCTTAAAATTCTTCAATTTTTCATCAAATTCAAATGTAGGGTCACTAAAATGCCTTCAGCGGGCCACGGGTTGAATACCCCTAGTTTAATATTATCGATTTAATAATAATCGACTAAACTTTCGATGTTTAGTCGCTAAACGTTATGGATTCGAAACTTACCGATGTTAATGTTGTAAGGTTTATTTTAAGTGTTTAACAGTTAGTATCTATAGTTAAAGCTACTTTCCTATCTCTCCTAGTTTCAGATTACAATTTCCTACCAGAATGTGTTTTTAGAATTTCGGTTAGTGCAAATGAGGAAGAGCGGCAGTTAAATCGAAGTTCCACTGACTTCATCGGAGAGCCAGAGATTCTGACTAACGCGCGTTTGCCATTTGGCTACACACTCCCTAGGCTATTACTACGCTCGGCGGTATTTCATGCCCTTGATAGTTTCACCAGTTTAGTTGATATGTAAGGGCCAACTACTTAGAATTTTGATAGCTTCGGCTATATCTATTTCGTTAAGCATTAGTTAAGTTTTATTTCTTAGTACTTTTGAGTTCAAGCCCAAGTGGAGGTTTTTCTGTACGCTCTGAGAAAGGAGCCGACTGTGAGACTCTTATTTTGAGAAAAAAAATTGGTAGTTAACTCTTCTTGAGATTACGTTTCTGTTCCTGAATTAAAGCGATTATTCGCTTACCAGTTCACAAGGTTCCTACACACTTAGCTAGTACAGAAAAGCTTGGAACCAAACAATGTCAAACATTGCTACATAAATTTACTTGGGGGCTTTACTTCGTTCCGTAATAAAAAATCTAGAAGAGTTACGAGATCAGTGTAGAAGCCTTAATGATGCATGGGGAAAAACTATACCAAATGCAGTAAACAGTTCCCACGAAGTACGAGATAGTTGGTCATCCTATAGCTGTTAACGAAAACAACTAAAAGTTAAAAAATGCAGTTAAGTGCATTAAAATACACTGCTCATTAAAATGTGCGAAACTTATTTACCGTCTGGTTTATTGGGTGCGAGTAGAGCTTGTTCAGACACGATCCAGACATACCCCGGTGAAGTCATGTTCAGCGCTTCCACCTCCTTGAAGATGCTCTCCGCGTCTTCGGAGCTGCAACAAGAACGATATTTATTTTCTAAAACTGTCAACTTCGCTTAAATATTTTTGTTTACAACTACTATTGTCGCCAACAAAAGTTTATTTTAATACCATTATTTACAATCGATCCTTGTCGTGTTAATTCCACTTAGAAAATTTCTCAAATATATAAGGTAGCGAAGTTTTTCAAATACAGATGATGGGCCCGAGTAAACATATAAAATGCTGGAAAAGAATGGCACGCCAAGTTAAACTGAATGTAAATCAAGAACATTATTTGGCATCAGTTTGATTTTATCAGATATGCTTTCAGCGATTTTACACTACCTTCTTCTTTAGTCGCAGCTAATTATCCATTAACAAACACTGTTGATCTGTAAATCATAAATTGAATTTTTCTTTCTTTAGGCTTTCCATATTCAATATCATGCAGATTTGAGGCTTTCTTTTCGTATCCCTAAAACTTTCTCTACCTTAGTTCATGACTTTAATTGTAGCTCATATTTCTCACCAATCTATAAGCAGATCACCTCTTAATTTCATTTCGTTTTAACCCTAGGTCGCTTCACTTGCTTTGATTCTTTTCTATATTTTTCTCTTGTCGTCATTACAGATGACATCATTCTTTAGCTATTTGTAATTTGTAAGTTCTTGAAAATCCATTAGTCTCTCTTTCTGTTTCTGGTACTCGTCTTTCATTTCACAGAAAAAGATTATGGTTTCACGTTATGAATAAATAGTGTTGTTTTATTCAATACGGAACCATTTTTCGCCAAAATAAGCAATTTTTGTTTCATAATAACTTCTTAAATGTCTTGGAATTTTTTTTAAAATTTTGCACGGTGATGGATACTTTAAAATGATTTCCGCCGAGTTTTCCCGTTTAAAAACACAATGAATTTTTTGTGACTGTAATTTTCGCTGTAAGAGAGCCATATAAAAACGTATACGTAGATTTTTCTTTAATTACCGAGGCATCCTACCTAAAATATTTAAGCAGTTTCTGTAAAATTTTCTACCTTATTCTGAGAAATTTGGTTTTGGAATTACATGTCTATTATCACATTTAAGGAAATGTAAAAGTACTAAATAAAGAAACTTTGTTAAAGAAATACTGCAACAAAATCTATTTTCATTAATCGTTACCTCTAAGTTCTTATATTGTGAGCAAGAACGAAGCATCATATAGCGAACTTAAAAACAGTTGCAAAGTAGGGTCTCATCAGACTCTTATAACCATTTGTCTTTGGGCCTAAATGCCAAAGGAACCCGTTAGTTATAGAAAAATCTAAAGGGTTTCAAATGACGAAAACAATTGGCTACTCACATATAAATGACACCAGCAAAATATGATTTTTTTAAGACAGTAACGATGATGGTTAAAATTTATTTTTTTGCACGCAACAAAACAAAATAACACTTCATTTTCTAATTTTTAATAATTTTACTTTCCCTTTTGCAATACTGGATGTGTCCAAAGGCTTTGCATTTCCTTAGTGGAAGAATTACGTTATGTCAGGTGTTCCCAAACGTTTTCAGTTGGCGGCGCACTTACAGGTTTAGTATTTTGTCACAATGCCCTAGTCGTGTTCAACGAAGTGTTGTACAAGGTTTTCGCTTTACAACCTGCTTACTACATACTGTCATAGCAAATCACAACACTTCATTAAATGCGACTCTATATTGATATTCGTGACCAGGCCCAGAAATGAAAAATACCACAATCTGAGGCTTTATAAGCTATATATTGAACTGATACACAAGAATATTTTATTATCATTATTAAAGAAAAATAGAAAAAATCAATTGGACGGGTGAGCTTGCTAATCTCCACAAAAATTTTTAAAGCAAGGGATAAGACTTGACGCTACTCCATCCATTTCTTGCTCCCTGTTGATCATTGAACGATATTTGTTCTTTATAAGAGCTACTGAAAATCCCGTTTCAGACAAATATAATATTGCAAAAGGAATGAGAATCCTTAAAGCTTTTGAACTTAGAGTTGGATATTCATTTTTGATGATTATCCAAAACTCCACCACATCGGAACAAGCGAATTTTGTTTTAAGGCTGTTGTGGCAGGAGATTTCAATGAGACTTCTTCTTGTGAAGTGAATTCTGCTGAGCTCGAGCATGGAAAGGATTTTGTATCCACGAATGTTTCTCGATATTTTCTTCCGCGAAGTGTTTTGCGAAGCATTCAGGGAACTTCGAAAGGTGTTCCGTGGAAAAAACAGCAATTTTTTTAGAGACAAAGAGCTCATTGAAGAACGTGTATTCATACAATCCGGAGGAAAACGATCTTGCCCGCCATCCTCATTAATTTTTCTTATCCACAACTGCAGCTTTCTTCTAAACCCCACAAGCATATTATTGCCTTGTACAGACACATTTAAGGCACTCAGCTTGTCAAATATATCGCACAAATATGTCAGTTTTAGTAAAAAGATCTGATTTGGAAAATATCTGGAATTTGTTTGTCCACGCTCTTGCAGAAAAGTGCGAAATTCTTGATGTAGCTCAAATGCACGAGATTATGACATTTCCATTTGAAAGCCATTGTGAACTACAGTAATATAGCAGTGTTCAGCTCCCATGCCCATGCAAAGTTTTTTAGTTTGTGGGGTCAAATGCAAACATCTTAAAACCTCTGTGAGCGTAACCCCGCCTCAGACAAGCGCCGCGAGATGGTGGACGGTACCACGGGAGGTATAGACGTGGCTGTAGTGCGTTGAATAGTCGACAATGATACCGTTGGGGCGGTTTGGGCCTGGCGAACGATCATCCTATCTTGCCTCGCATTTGTGATCCTTGGACTTTTAGAGCCTTCATTTCGTCTGCAGTCTCCTTGTAGCAACCATTTCTTGCAACATCTTTGCACAGCAGTGTCTGCACGCTGCAGATGGCGATCTATTGCTCGGTATGACCACCCAGCTTCACGCAACCCTACAATGCGAGCACGTTCGAAGTCGTTTAGTTGTCTGTAAGGTCTTCGATATCGTCGTAATGGCATCTTTAGTTGCTTCTTTACGGAAATACAATGGCAGCAGAAAAAAAAAGATAAATTTTTCGCCTCTGTTACTGGTTTTATACTTTGCGAATTGCGCACTAGAAATGCGGCGCGCTATAATCGCAATTCCTGTTCATTTGCTTTGAACCTTTGATCATTTGCATGTTCAATCAAGATGTTTTTGCATACCAAATTTCGTCACGGTCGCAAAAGTACTTCTTGGTGCTTCGATTTTTTTGCAAAAGTGTGTATATAACATTAGAATCCTCTGTTATTACTTCAACAAAGCTTTATACCTAATGCATTTTAATTTATACCAATTAAATTCTTTACTAAAACGTAAACGTTTAAATTATTAAGAGAAGCAGTTACTGCCTTTAGTCCTCTCATATTTAAAGGCAATAAGTGCATCTGTTACTAAATATTTAGCTGAAACAGCATTTTGAGAACCAAGTGCATTTGAGAGCGGGTGAAAAATAAAGATTTTTCATTTCGCGCGATAGTACCATTTTATTTTCGAATCGCTCAATTTATCAGTAAAAAAACAATTAAGCCTGAAGAAAGCTCTTATGTTTTACCAAATGGCAACACTTCAAATTTTCTATGCTCTCTCGCATTTGGAAGACCTTTAAATTAAAGGTATTCTTGCTTTCATGCATTTCAAGCATTTATCGTGTTTCTAGATTCTTAGTTTTTCTGTTCTCGTTTCCTAGGACTGATCTGGTCTTTGGATTTTATTCTGTCACATCAAGATTTTATATGTTAGTCGTCTTCTAGCAATGGTGAAAGGGTAGCATGGAGCAAAACAGGTATCATGGTTACATTGTAATTGCATTTCAGTATCAATACCTTATTTTAAACAAACTGAACGTTTCACACATCTCTAAAAACAAATATTTCTAATTAAAATAGTAGAAAGGTAAAAAAATATTTTAAATCAAAATTTTAACTATGATTTGCAATATTCTCTTATCTCTCGTTTTAATTTTACTCAACAACAATTAGTATGCTTTTCCAATATCTAAATCAAAGGATTTAAATTTTTATCTGAAACGAAAGCATTATGTAAAGCTTAAATTCCATTGTAAACTGCGGGAAATAATTGGACAGTTCTATATCTGATCCGATTGATGAAATTCGAATTGCGTTTTTCATGTCTCGAAAGCGCGACTTAGGATATATATTAGATTTATATATAGCATTGTCCTAACATAGCTATTTTGACACAAAACGGGACTTTTCTGAAATAACATACCCATTTTTTTCATATTTCGATTCTACGACTCAAATTATGCCTAGATATTAAATTTTGTAATTTTTGGTGAGAAATTTATGGAGAAATTTAAAAATGTATCTTGGCGGAATTTTTTTCAGTTTGCGGCAAGAATAATTGACTTGGCGAACTTCTAAATTTGTAGCAACCTGTTTTCCTTTCTTTTTTTTAATTGTCCACGAACGGAAAAAAGGTTGATCTTTACAATATGGTAACTGGTAGTTTGGCGACATTTTGGAGGCGATAAAGGTTACTACCTGGGACTTTGGTAATAATGTGAGCAGTACTCAGTTCCGATTACGCATTATTTTGTGTGAGGGAAATGAGAGATCATGGGATATGTCATGTGATATTAATGGACGAATTACGGTTCTTTAATCGGAAAAGGGGGGAAATCGGGAAAAAATCTGGAAATTTTGTATTTGGTTTATTCTGTGTTGTGTGAAACAGTGTTCGTGAATTTTTGGATCCCATGGCCGTAACTAAAGAAAAGTTTATCGGACACGTAATAAAGATTCTGAAGAAGATTAGGTAAGTTAGTATTTTTAATTATTTGAGGATATTATTTTTATGCATTGTTTCTAAATGTAAGGTGGAAGTAAAGGAATTTGGTATTATTGGGAAAATTGTTATTAGCAATGATTTAGTTTAAAGTAATTAGGATTGTAAGGTAATTTTTATTAATTTAATGTATGTGCTCATTTATATTTTAAGTAGTGTTTTTGAATTTAATTATATTTTAATTAAATGATAGTTATTTTGTGAATTTTATGTTTGTAGGAATTTGGTATACGTTTCAGTTGAAGTAAACGCGCATGGAAATAATTTAAATATCTGACACTAAGTATTTGTATGGTGACGTTTATAATATAATAGATGATTTAGAGGTAAAAGTTTTTGGATATTTTATTTATTTTATATGTGGAAATGTTCATATTTGGAAAGGGTAAATACTTTTTCGCGATCAGGTAATTTCATATATGTTCTTTTTACCGGGTTTAAAGATTGAGAAAATTGTCATGTATTTTCGTGAAATTTTTCTAATTTATGAGAAAAAAGCAGTGTACATGGATATAGTGAAGAGTGTGCGCAATGCCATTTTTGTGCAATTCTGGGATGTTTTTTTAAGTAAAAATAAGTCGGCGTGTACATGGTTTATGTGTATGTGTTATTTCGAAAAACGCGTAAGGAGTATGGTATTGTGCACTTTTTCCCAATTTTGCAGTGAATATTTGTCATGATTAAGCAGTTTTGTTAGATAAAATTTCTAGCATAAGTGTAATTCGGCTAGTAGATTGTTGGAAGAAGTGTTCAGTAGATAAAAAGAAAAGAAACATGTCTTTACTTCGTGAAGACAAAATGGCGGCGGGAAAAAAAATAGAGGGTTGCTGTAGGAGAGTTGGTCGCCAAATTTTCGCCAAAAAAAACGCCAAGTTACCATAATGTAAAGATCAACCGGAAAAAATCATCGTTCATACTTTCAAATAATTTTAGCAAAGTGTCTAAACCACGTTTGATGTTTTATCGCTCTCAATAAATATGCCAAATCAAAAAACGCGCCACTATATAAATTCAAGTATATATCTTCGGAAATTTTGAATAAAAAAGTCTATTTTTTTTCAGATAGGCTTAGAAATACATATATTTTAAGATGGTGGTAATAATTTTATATATTATAATTCAAAATTGTTTCCAAAAAATTATAAAAAGTATTTAAAAATACAAATTTTAAAAATAAATCATAAAGAATGGGCGAATTTTATTTGGAATGAACCTAAATTTCTAAATGTAAAAGAAAGAATCAAATAAGTTTAATAAAAAAAAGGGAGATTAATAAATATAGACCAAATTCAGTTAACATTGAGGAGCAAAAATTTTGAGAACCAATTTTTTAAAAACTATTCGTGCGATTTTTACAAAACTTGGCAGTTTGGCATACTTTGAGTCGCAGAATCGAAATATGGAAAAAAATTGGCATGTCATTTCATTTTTTTAAAAAGTCCGATTTTGTGTGAAAATACCTATATCAGAACAATGCTATATATAAATCTAATACATATCCTAAGTCGCGCTTTCGAGACATAATAAACGCACGTTGAATTTCGTCAATCGGCCCAGTAGAACGGGAGATATAGAACTATCCCATTTTTTTTTTCGCAATGTACTTATCAATTACGTTTTGTTAAAAAGAAAGGCAATTAATCCAACTGATCACGTCTCTGATCTGTAAATCAAAATTTGGAAATCTGACTTGGATGAGAGACATCTGACTAGAAACTAGCGATCACTTTATTATAAATGTTACCACTAAATTGCGGAAACCAGTTATTCTGCAGATTAATTAAGGCGATCCGTTAAAGTGCAAAAAATTGTTTCATTTCTCAAATTACCAAAATAATCTGCAGATTATCTACTAGGCACTCGTTAAAATGAAAATAAGACCTTTGCTGGAAAAACAGCAATGCCTTTGTGCGCTTATACTTTTAAATAACAGCCGCCACTTACACTTTTAAATTTTTGATCGGGCAAGGTTTAAGGAAATGTTACTGCAAATCTAGACGTACCTCAAATATATGTGCTTGTCGCAAAATCCAATCATGTATTATCCTAAGTTTTAACATTTTATTCTAAATTCTAAATTTTATTATACAATATATTATGCATCATTCTATACTATATGTATAATTCTATATTTTATTTTCTATATTTTAAGTATTATTTTTAATTTATTATGATATATTCTATGTTTTAGCATTTTATTCCAAATCTGGAAAATTCAAAATTTTATTATATGGCACAATGATACATCATTATGTATACTTTATGTATTATTCTATATTTTATTTTCTGTTTTTTTTTAATATTAAGTATTATTCTAAATTTGTCATATGATATATTCTATGCTAGCTTAATGTAAAACTTGATTCGACTTGATTCATTAGATTTCCCTCCTTTCCCACAGGTACAAAGTGTTCGAGATCTGGTCTCATTCGGTGGGCTAATAATTGATTCACCCACTAAACAGTAACTTTTCTAATGACCCCTTCTTTTAGTTTTCTTCCTTTTCTTTTTCTTCTGATAACCTTTCTCCCTTTTTAGCCCTCCTCTCTTAATAATAAATTTCTAAACCTCCCTCTGAAGAACTATCATCAGCCTTATTCTTATGCTTATACTCGGTTAGTGATTAAAAGTTATACCCGTTCGATTTTAATTAAGTTTCTTGTGCTCCTAACATTTACTTGCACCTGTAGCAAAATCCATTTGCTATGTAATTCAAAGTGTTACTAATCCTTAATCCTTACACTAATGGGTAATTATAATTTTATCATATGTTTTGCAAATTCACTTCCTTAATTGTGATAATATTTTAAACCGTTTTATTCTTCGTATTATAGTTTTTTATGGATTGATTCTATCAACTAATTTATTGATTGTTTTATAAGGTATTTCTCCCGCCTTCTTACCATGCCTTCGTGGTGTATTGGTCAGCTCGCTCGGCGCGTATTCGAGAGGTACGAGGTTCGAATCCCGGCGAGGACACTGCTCATTGTTCACGTCCTCCCGTATCAAAGATACATAATGTCTCTACAGTTTAATTGTATAAATTTCAATTTTTGGATAAATAAATAAATAACATTATGTTAATTTAAGCGTACAGAAACATTGCTGTTGTTCCAGTAAAGATGTTATTTTCAGTTTCACGAGCGCCTAGAAAGCAATGTGCAGATTAGCGAATTCCTAGTAGGTAATATGCAAAGCGGAGGGAAAGAGAAACGAAAGAGCAGCAAGCTTTTGAACTTTAACGATACGGAACCGTTAATGTGCACACTACCTAGGTAAAATGCGGATAACTCTTGATTCGGCACTTGAACGCAGCAAATCAATTAATCTGCAGATTAGCTAGGTAATGTTCTCTTTAACGACTTTCGCCCTGTAGCGATAACATAAACACTCTGATTGAATTTTGAAGCACTTAGAATGCCACATATTTGAAAGCATCTGTTCATTAAATAATTTGTTTCCCCATAATTAACAGAGCAGAAAAGCGGTAATAAATTACGATGGAAATTGTACTGAAAACTACTGCTTTACTTTTATACGACGGTTACTTAACGAACCCTGTAGACCTTTCACCGTATTCATTCCTTAAAATTTTATTTCATCAAATATTTTAATCACTATTCTCTTTTATTATGATTTTTATTATATTTAAACCAATTAAAACCCGAAAACATGCAAACAAATTTACAACAAGCAGCTCAATTTTTACTTTGCCTAGAAGCGGTCCGGATAAAATTAAGAGCCCTATGTAATTGGAGGTTTACAGTATTCAAAACACTTCACAAGATTCAAACTTAAGGAATTATTGTCTGAAAGTGAACAAAACAGCTCAAATTAAGATTGACATACATTTTTTTTTTCTGTGTCACTTACTTGGCGTAAAGTATGAAGACTCTGCAGTACCGACCCTGTGCTTCTTCGAGTCTTTGGCTGATTTCTGTGATGCCAGTCTCGTATTCGATGATATCCTCCACCTGATTAAAAAGTGATTTTGTTAATTTTTTAATTCGTGAATAAGGATGCAAATCTGATGTATACACCACCTGACTTCCTTGTATATAATATTAAATTATACGCAATTTTCCCACATTTCATTTAAACATATTGAATTAACAATTAACGAATTTTGATTTAAACCTACTTCGTCGATAGCGCTTAGACCACAATAGAATAAATGCACTCTTTTAAAGTTCACTATATTTATTTACCATAACGACACTTCGGTGCTACGTTCACTTAACAGCATTAACATTCATTTTAAAACTCAGAGTGTATAAAAATTATATCATCTGAAGAATTACCATAAGTTCTATTCAAATACTATAATAAATCTAAAACGATATACAAAAGAAATTAGACAAATTAAAAAAGCTTTTTCGCAGACGATTCAGCGTCGCTTACCTAATGCGCATGCGCTACTAATTAATTCAGTTCTCACTTCGTGACAAGGCAAAAATACACAAAATTCAAAATATTTCCATTAAAATTTCACAGCAATAGAAAAACATAAAACACCAAATACAGTTAAAACTCCTGTGAAGGTTTTGTGGATATAACGCTGATTTTTGTTGTTTGACTTCTGAAAGTTAAAACAATTAAAAAAAACAATTTTTACAATTAAAGTTACAGTTTCTATATAAAAATAAGCTAATAACTTAAATGTTAATTCCATAATGAATTAAGCATAATTTAATTCGCAATAATAAAAGAAGACGTTACTTTGTTCTTGGGAAGCTTAGTTTCTCTAGATTGGCAACAAATCCACTATTCTATTCTGGTAAGTTTTAAATGTAAACAAACATGGACGGCATACTAATCAGAAATTAATACTTAGCCGCACTTAAAAAACTTTTAAACTGTTGATAATTCCACAATTATTGCATGTAGGTTAACTAAAGGTATAAAAAAACTTAACCGGAAGATAAGAACAACATAATTTAATCATTTTTAAAGCAAAAAATGCACAATTTACAAATATATAAGAATAATTTAATTGACACTGTAAGTAAATATCATATGTATTATCAAACTGTGGGGTGTTCACACTATGGAATAATTGTCACAACTGGCATAAATCCGTGGCTTTATTACATCATCAGATGTCGTATAAAGCTGGCATACTAGATACCCACCCAAATCTACAACATGCTGCAAATTCTACTTCTAGTAGTTCATATTAAGTGGATGTCAGCAGTAAGCAAAATACACACTGCTATACTCATTACGCAATACAGTAATGTTCAAAGATTTTCTGTCTCCGCAGAAAGTCTTTGAACATTACTGTATTGCGTAATGAGGAAAACGCTAAGCATCAAAACGTTTTACACTTTTCTGTCCATTAAAAGCAGTCCATGTGGCTTCCAAGTACACTGCGACATTCAGAAGTCAAACAACAAAAATCAGCGTTATATTTTCAAAATTTTCGCAGGACTAGTTGCGATGGTTTTTACCGAACCACCATCCTCAGCTGCAATTTGCGGTTTTGCAGCTGAGGATGGTGGTTCGTTAAAAACCATCGAAACTAGTCCTGCGAAAAATTTGAAAATATAACGCTGATTTGTGTTGTTTGACTTCTTAATTAGTATTTATTCGGCGTGTTATTGTGTCTTAATTACACTGCGACAGTTCTATATCTCCCGTTCTACTGGGCCGATTGACAAAATTCAACTTGCGTTTTTGATGTCTCGAAAGCGCGACTTAGGATATGTATCAGATTTATATATAACATTGTTCTAATATAGGTATTTTGACACAAAATCGGACTTTTTCTGAAATGACATGCCAATTCTTTTCCATATTTCGATTCTACGACCCAAATTATGCCAAAATGCCAACTTTTGTTAAAATCGCACGAGTAGTTTTTAAAAAATTAGCTCTCAAAATTTTAGCTGCTCAATGTTAATTGAATTTGATATATATTTATTAATCTTTCTTTTTAAATTAAACTTATTTGATTTTTCCTTTCATATTTCGAAATTTAAACTCATTCGAAATAAAATTCGCCCATTTTTATGATCTTTTTTTAAAATTTGTATTTTAAAATAATTTTTATAAATTTTTCGAAAAACATTTTGAATTAATTCTATAAAATTTTTACCATCATCTTAAAGAAGATGTATTTTTAAGTGTACCTGCAAAAAATTAGTTTTTTATTGAACATTTCCTAAGATATATGTAAATTTATATGTTGGCACGTTTTGAAATTTGACATATTTGCTAAAAGCGATATGGTTTAGGCACTTCGTTAAAATTATTTGAAAGTAGGAACGAAGTAACTTTTTCCCTCTCGTGCACAATGTAAAAAGGGAAAGGAAAATAGGTTGACATAAATTAAGAATTATTCTTGGCCCAAACTTCAAAAAGGACAAGATAAATTTCGGAATTTCTCCGTAAATTTCGCGCCAAATTTAACAAATTTAATATTTAGGCATAATTTGAGTCGTAGAACCGAAAAATGGAAAAAAAACAGGCATATCATTTCAGAAAAAGTCCGATTTTTGTCAAAATCCCTGTGTTAGAACAATGCTATATAGAAATCTAATATATATCCTAAGTCGCAATTTCGAGACTTAAAAAACGTAATTTAAATTTCGTCAATCGTCCCAGTAGAACGGTAGATATAGAACTGTCCCCGCTTTTTATTCCGCTGTGTGCATTTGGGCCATGATCATAAATAAAGTTCTACTTCTATCTTATTAGGAGGTTCAGGCTGAAGTGATTATGTTTCAAATATAAATTAAAATATATTTAACTTCTATGCCATATATTTAGCACCTGAAGAAAGATAACTCCACCTTGCTTTTAACAAATGATATTCAGCTTATATTTGCAAATCGTTAATGCCACAGTGTGCATGAACCTAAACATCAAGATGTTAAATTACAATTCCGATTGCGAACTTTGAATAAATATTCAAAATATTAGCTTTGTAGGCAAATAAGGCGCGTAACATAAAATGATATTTGACAGCAGGATCCGGACACCCGGGCGGCTTTACACAGACCAGTCGGGCACTGTCCTAATCCCCCAACTGTACAGAACAACGCCTTAAAAACTGAAAGGTTGAATATTGCCATACAAGGCATACAAGGGCTGGTTACATCGTACATATGCACTTTTGTTGATACTTGCTTACATACATGAGACGAAGAATAATTAATACACATATTAGATAAATATACTGATTCATAGTAGATAAGCATACATGATATAAACATGCATGATTGATAATCATACATCTGAACTGCTCTGTACCATACATGCGATTATTGATACTGATTAAAAATGTACAAAATCATACATGACACATAATCATACTACTGAACTGTTCCGTGCCATAGATACAGTTACTGTCTTACACAATATCTGAGTTACATGCAAATACTGAATTCTACAAATCAAGCTTAGTGCGTTGTGTGTGTGATCTGATCACTTTGTGTGTAATTTGGACATAGTGCGTGTTACTTCACACTGTATGAAGAGATCATACTTTATACATATGATATATATGATAATTGAAAAAACATACTTATTCATAAAAAATATTATGTTCATAACATTCATAATAGATAAACATACATAATACATAAACCTACTGATACATAATGAATTTACATAATACATAATAGATTAACATACTGATTCATAATAAACATGCATAATACATAATAGATAAACATACTGATTAGTAGTTATAATAAGGTGATTTAGGGCCATGTGGCGCTCACAGACGACGGAATGCGTGGCGCACAGGGGGGGGGGGGAGAAAATTTACGGAGGAGCCCGTGTGGGTTGATACGTCACCAACTACGGACGCGTCGCATCCTGTTCGTGGCGTCATCACGCATTATCAGCTCGGATTACCTTGCTATTGCTACGTCAGCCACATGTTTCATCCTGTTTGTGTTGTAATCCGGTTTCATGTCCGCGCTTATCCATTGATGTAGAACTCCCCGCTGCTCTGATGTCATGCTTAATCCGCAACTTGATTGCAGCATACAGATACATGTGAGAATTTCTAGAACATTCTATTTAGTTCAGCAATCACCGCTAGAGGCAGCAGTAGTCTTACCCATAGTGTATTCTGATTAGTACTCGTGGATCCTGACGAAGTTATTAACCATTATTTTTAATTGATTATACTATTTCACTTAATATAGTAGTATTTAATGAAAAACGTACATGTAAATTTCATGTATTTGGCCATCTATGCCAGGCGAAACGTGGACGATAACAAAAAGCCGTGCTTTTATCTCCTGAATCCTATTATTTGATTATTATTTCATCGTATCTATTCTCTTAATGTTAATCTGACTTAGCGGAAACCAGCATGAGGCTGATGGATTGCACATAGGCAATTCTGTTCCAACTTGCTAAGACCTTTCTACACCCTCGATAATGAATGAATTCATAACTTTAAATTTATTTTGTTTCTATTTTAGGTTAAGATATTTTAAATTTCTCATTTCTTTATCTTACAAACATAATTTACGTAATTTTCTTTTCTTCTCGCCGTTAAATTAAATGTACTAATTTTCACACCATATTTTTTATATATAAACATAAGATTTTCTTTTTTTTCCACATTTTTAAGTTTTACATTCTTTTCCCCTACGTTTAACTTGCAAAAGTAATAGATTTTATAAAAGTAATACGTTTTCACAATTTTAATTTTTTTTCCCTTTTTATTTTACAAAAGGCTTTTTTCCCTTAAATTTAATCTTTCCTTTCCATGTTTTACATTTTTCACTTTATTTGTTTTACAAAAGCTGTACTTATTTTCATACGATATTTTATTTATTTTTTACGAACTCTGTCTTTTTTCCTATATTTTACTTCAAAAAGTAATTTTTAATTTTTCTTTTATATAAAAGTATTTTTTTTAAAATTTTTTCAAGAATTTTCTTCTCTCATTTCTTTTTTCTTTCTTTTATATTCCTCTTAAGGTTTTTCTTAATGTTTTAAATACTTATTG